GTTCTGCTGCTATTCATCTGGTGTTCGTGGACTAATTCCTCAAAAGTTGATAGCCTATTCCATTTTCATAGCCTTTACTAGTCTGGAAGTTATGTTGGAACTGGTTTACCCATGTGGCCTTGCTGGTATATGAAATACCAGTGATATATCGTCTAGCATTGTAGCAATATATAAGTCACTACAGTATGACAAGCTAACAGACAAGTGGTAGGCTGATGCCAGAGTTCAAGGATAAATATGGCTTACATGAATGGAGCCATTCTCATATCAAGAAACTTTTAGAGTGACTGAGATAAATAATAAATATGTTAGGAATGTGGCTGTCATGACATCCATGTATATATTGTTTATTGTTGTTGTTTCCACCAATTTTAGCAAAATGGTCCTGTAATGTGGGTACACAGAAGTGTCTTGATTCATTTACACTACCCTTATGGGTACTTGATCCTTGTTAAAATTTTTAAGTCCAACATATTTCTATTATTTATTTACTGAAAATGATTATACTCTAGGGTGAAGAATCATCTTTATATAGTTCCTAATGGAATCAATTTATAGTAAGAAAATCTGCTTTATTAATTTCCTTGAAATATATATAAAAAGACTAGAGACTGTAGACCTCCTGTTCAGTTATTCAGTTCTAGCGTGGACACCACCAAAATATCAGACAAAATTCTGAATGGTGCCCCAAATTGAGAATAAACTGCATTTTTTAATGTTTTATTAATTTTATTCTTGCTATTGAGACTTATATATGTACCACTTAGTAGTATGATTATATTTATCAAATTGTAAAGCTATTTGACCTTCCTTTTCTAAGTGGTTTCTCCATCCACATAGATGCACCACTGTTAAGGTTCCTATCTAATCTTTTAAGTTGCTATCATTACTTTGATCTTATGTGAACACAAAACTAAACCCATTCTGATTCATAGAGACCCTATAGGACAGAGTAGAATTGCTTTTGGGGTTTCTGAGAATATTGTTCTTTTTTCATTTTAATTTTTTTAATAACAATTCAATATCTCAATCATATAAAGAAGAGTTGTAAAATCATCACCACAGTCAATTTTAGAACATACTCTTCTTTCTTCTACTTATTAGGTCCCCATTTCCCACCCAACTTCACCTTCCATACTCCCTCCAAAGAACATGAATCAAGCTACTGTCTATAGATTTACCTATCCTATATTTCATATACAGAAATACAAACAAAACAACAAAACCTCAATCAAAAAGAAAGAAGAAAATATTGAAAAATAGAACAAATTTTAAAATCGATCAGGGGGAAATCAAATTATAATATGCTAAATTTTAATCTAACTGTACCTATATAAATCCAATTTCCAATGCAATATGCATGAAAGCAAGGCTGTACACATCCCTGGTCTGTGGTCAGAGGGATTAACTGGGAGCTTAATTCACATGTATTCCCCCTACACTTTTTTTTTAGCTGGAATAACTTTAAAATGGGTCAAAATGGAGATCCAATGAAAACAATATTACCTTTTAACCTCTTCGATAATTTATTTTACACTCCTCCCTGTCTGATAACAAGAGTATTCATATCCCTCAATTATGGTCAGAGGGGATTCAGCAGAGGCTGAATCTTTGAAACTGCAAATGGATATCGCAAATGGATTTGAGGCTTCCGTAATAGCCTTCTGCTATTCTCCACCATTTCACCACCTGTTCTTTACCATTTAGACTCTGATACCATTCCCTCCTTCACATTTGGAATTTTCTCACTTATAAACCTTGGATCACACAGGCTGGTGTGATTCTTGCATGCGGACTTGGTGTATCACTTAGATGGTTGCTTAAGATCTCAGAGACTATTTTTTCTGACAGAAAAGCACCATCTAGTTTCTTCACTACATGTTACTATATCACCCATCTCTTTACTGATCACTTCATTAAGGCAAGTATCAAGCAGGGCCATATTAAGGACTAATAAATGGCCAATAATTAATAGCTAATTATTTTTAGATTGAGGCTAGAATTTATTTGCAAGCCCCAAATCTATTCATATATCTATGGCTTATAAATGTTTCTGGTTCATCTTAGAGACACCAGTGTCATTATATGTTAGAGAACATTATCAATCATTCCCATAGGGCATAAGGTAAATCTAGTCATACTGTCATTTAGTTAGACAATGGTATAGACTTTAAAACACTGTTGAGAAAAGGAAATTATACAAGTATAGGCCAGCTGCAAACCACAATTCCTGAATTGTTTAACTGCACAGAGTAAACTATTAAGTGACTGGACACTATTTATACAAGCAATGGTGGTTGGCAATTGACAAAACTTTCAATAATATTCCCTCACCCTGCCTATCAGATTAATTCATGTTATAACAAAACAAGGAGGGTACTAAAATTATAAGCACATGGTATTCCCGGGCCACTATTCTTTGAACACCCTCAAGGCAAGAGATCCAAACCAAACTGCAAAGTTCACCAATTCTATAACTTTGTGAAAATAGCAGTCATCGGCTTCTTCTCACACTGGACTTAATGTTTCAGCTTTAAGTCCAGTGAATTCTAGGTGAATCTGAAGTAAAACCTAGTTCACTTAGTGGGATTTCCATATCTAGTCCTGGATGCTGTGTGTCTCAGAGAACGAAGTCTAAATTCCATTAGTCTGTTCGACACATCGTGGGTCACCAAGGATTGGATAAAAACTCGGTTGTGCTTATTCTTTAGAGCTCTTTCCATCAAGTAATTGAAGTCTAATATTTGTTCTTCTGTAATTTAGACCAATTATTAAATCAGAACAGCTCTCTAACCCTGATGAATACTGGTATATTTTCTAACTTTTGATACCTTTCATTGTCACATCTCAAAAATATCATTATTCTATACTTGATATTTTACTAAATAAGTTATGTTGACTATATTTATATCTTGAATAATTTTTGACTGGACATTTAAAATACAATGAATTTTCACTAATAGTGCAAAAACAATCTAGTAAGGTTGAATCTTTGTATAGATAATTGACATCTTCACTAAATTTGATTACTTTTTGAATTTTTCATTTGATTATTTTTTAAAAGAAAGAAATTACACGGCTGTTGAGTCAAATCCAACACGTGTGACACGATAGTGAAGAATACACTGTCATATCAAGTTCCCCAAAGCTATAAATCTTTATGGAAGTTTCGAGCAATGTCTTTGTCTCAGAGTGGTTGATGAGTTCAAACCACTTTTAGGTTAGCAGCCAAGCCCTTTAACCATTGTGCCACTAGACCTTTATTTTGATTATTACCTACTTCAAATTCAGAAGATAACCATTTACCGCTTTGATCAGAGCCTGTTTAATATTTAATCATCTATTTAATATTATGCCTCTGTGATTGTAAAACTGATACATAATACTAATTTTATATAACATTGTTTTTTAACGATATCCCAAAATGAATTAAACCAGATATACAATATAAGTTGTTTATTTTAAGCCTTTTGTAAATTTAGTAGGATATTATTTGGCAAATTAGTAGCTTCAAATCTATTAGAGAACTTCAAACTATAGAGGCCTAAATTTTCTTAACTAGCCCAAATTCTTTATTAGAAAAACATCAAGCTTTTTTATCTATTCTTAACATTGCTTTTAAAAAAAGATAATTATTTTGATGAAACAAATCTAATTGCTTTTCTCTCTTTTCTTACTTAAAAGTTGCTTTGTGTTTTGTGACTCCCATATAAGTAACTAGTATTCTTCCATTTGCTTTCTTTGAGGAAGATATAGTTATCCTTCTCTTGTGATTATTTTTTATCTTGTATAAAAATCTAACTATACCCAGAACTGCATTATGATTTGTTGGGCTCTAGGCAATTTTGCGTTAAAAATATCTTTACATATATATATCTTCAAATTCAAAATTGTGTATATATGCAAATATACATACATATATGTTAGAAAAGTTTATAAACAAATATTTTGAAATTCCATTTCCCCACGAAATTTTTGAGGTCCCCTTAAACATACTCCATTTTATAGCTCTGTTGTTATAAATGGGTGAGTTGGTTCTATAGAATCTACATAGAATTAATAATTTTAGGGCTCTGCTTGATGTGTTCCTTCTTAAACCTTAGCTTTTTAATACTCTTACCTTGTCATTTATCCCTCAGTTAGTGTCCAGAAACAGTCCGTCTTAACTAAGGGTTTCACTCCTTCAGGAAGTCCACTTGTTCTTTTGGCCATCAGCAGCCTTCTGACAAGAGGCTCAGACTCTTACTATAAAAGTGGGTTTGCACAAACCAGTCATATTAAATACTATAATTTTTAAGAGGAACCCATCATTAAAAAAGTGTTTAACAACTACAGTAGGGCCCACACCTGGAGACAGAGGAGTATCTGGATGTGGACACGGACGTGGAGAGCAGGTGTGGAGCCAGAGTCTTTGGAAGAGGAATCCCTTCCATCGAATCAACTGGTCGCTGCTTTTCAGTTTTTCCCTTCTTTGCCTTTTTTCACGAGGACCTGGCTGGCTTTCTTTAAAAAAAAAAAAAAATCCCGTCTAATGTGGTCAGCTGTTGGTGTTTCCTTAACTGTTTTCTAAAAGGGTTTACTAAATTATCAACAATATCGATAACATGGTTAACCAGTTCCTTATCGTGATGCTTCTTTTCAAAAAACTCTAAGGACCCCTGATTTTTTTATCTAAAAGCAGTACAAAAAGCTAAAACACATGCAATACAACTGCAAAAGGTTTAAAGATCGCGTCCTAACAACGCCAACGAATGCCTAGTGACTGAAACAAGAACTTCTTTTGTTTACATGTGTCGGGTTGGATTCCGATGTTTTGTTCAAGCTCCGATGTAAAATTTTCCCAACATTTCATGTGGAAATCTGATTATGTCGAGTACTGATGCGGTCGAGTACCAGGGTTCTACTGTTCTTAGTGCTCATAAGTCATAGACCTACATTTATTTTAGATATGAATTATTTTTATCAAGCTCTTAATTATCTTTTTACCCTATTTTCAATAGACAGTCTCTACTTAAGATGTTACCTACTTTAAGAATCCTCAATGGTGAGATGGTTAATTGTTATTCAGACAACCACCCTGAAGATCAATATCAGCTAAAATCTGGGTGCTTCACAGATTTTAAAATCTGGATTCTTTGCCAGTCCCAGATTCGTGAATTCAACTTACTCACTGAAAACTATGTCACCAGAAAAGGGTAATATTGTACTCTGATATTTGTTGTAATAAAAATAAATAATGTAATTTATATATATATGATGAAAAGTATGCTGATTAACAAAACTATATATTTTAGATTAAAGCCTTTTAAAAAAACAAAAGAAAACAAAATTCTGGCTTCATCTTTTATTCTTGAAATGTATTTGTACAAATTTTGAATATAACTTACAATATACTTTAAATATTAAAATGTTAGAGTCAGCATAAAATGGAAGCTTAAACAGACAAGTGGGAAACAGACATTTAAGTAGTCAATTAGTTAATTATCACTCATAAATTTGCTCAATAATCATTGCAACCAAGATTGTTTGTTAGCTGTTAGACTCTATCCTCAAAGTTTACACAGCATAATGTAAGAAAAAAATCAGGCAAATAGTAGCAAAGCAACAGAGCAAGTATTATAAGGGATTTAGTAAATAAATATGTACGAGAACACAGTGCAAAAGTGTAGTTAACACAAGTATACATTCAGAGGACAGAAGCAGAAAATTTCCACTCCCCATCCTAAATTCGAAAAACATAACTATGAATGAATTAATAGTTTATTTAACTACTTTATAGCTGGAACAAGCATGTCTAAATTAGATTATTTACTTTTTACTTATATGTGCTATTTATATTTTCCTAATGCTGATCTTAATAAGACTTGGCTTTGATATTTAAATGTTTTAATATACTTTATTCAATGTTTAAAGTAAGTCTCACAACTATAAAAATAACATCAGCTCTTATAAATAATCAGTATTTGCTTTTAAGCGGTACTATGATTTTTACCTTTGTGTGGGTGTGGAAATCTAACCTGACATCTCTTTAAATATGTACAATTTTCATATCAAATAACCCTTGATATCTCTCATAATGAAATTTGGGTTTTAAAATTGCTTTTTACTACTTACCCATTACTATAACTTTATATCTTATTTTTAATTGAAAAAAAAGAGTAGAACATATTTCATATGTTTAGTTCATAAATGGTGGTTCAACAACTACCCATAAACAACAAGAACCCGTAAACATTAAGACCAAATATAATGTACAATTTTTTGTTATATTTACTTATTTATGCATAGTTTCAGAAAAATAAGAGAACTTGTGACTGTATATTCAGCATAGAAAGAAAATATAAATTTCAAGTATTCAAAGAAAAAAGCAAAATATATTATAATTTAAATTTAACCACGAATAAGGTTCATGTAAGTGCAAAGCTCTTCATATATTTTTGAGAGCCTATAATTGTATACATGACAGTCCATTAGATAGAAGCCTGATAATTATTTAAGAGAGTCAGCAAATTATGTCTTAAGGTATTTCCATTCTTTTTCTGGCTGATTCTTTTTTCAGAGAAGACTGGGAGTAAAAACTTTCCAATGATATAAATCCTTTGTTTAGAAGTCCAGTATAAATATTTTGGATGGCAAGAGTCAATGTAGAAAGTCCTTCTAGCTTTATTTAATAAATAACTTATCCAAATTTAGGCAGCCATAATTTCTAAAGTTTATGGTAGCAAAAACTTGGCTCTTTCACATTTATTTAAACCAAAAATACCTAGCATAATTTTTTTAAATTCCAGACATTTTGTCTAGACTGGTAAATCTAAATTATCTAAACAAATATTCTCAAATTGTGTTAGAAGTGATATCAATTTTTATGTTGTCAGAAAGAGCTAAGCTTAAAACAAATGTTGGAGAAAATTTAATTTTCATTTCAGGCCACAAACAGAAATTTTCTGTTATACATATTTTAATATTTACTGATATAATTCTTTTTTATTGTCTTTATTTATTTGTTCAGGAATATGTATTCCTTGGATGGTGTAGAAAAGCTCTGTGATTATTTTCAGGAATTAACGACACTTAGTCATGAATATCGGTATGCACATGAAAATATGTATGTAAGCATCATAGAGAAAAATGAATCAGAAGCCAAGCAAAATCATTTGGCCCACGCAAAAATTGACAACCTACAGCAAAATGTGGTCCTCAACTCTTATGCAAACAGTTATAAACCAGACTCATCAAATATTGCTGAGAAATGGATCGACTCTGGTTCTGATTACACACCAGTAGTAAATTCCTCCATGTGTAACAATATTGAAGAAAAGAATCAAGAAAATATAAACCATAGAAGAATACCTCTGAGAATCAACATTTCCACTAAAAGAATCCCTTTCACAAAAACTGTGTCGACAACTTCTTTGATGAAGAATTGCCAAAATATTCAATATACTGAAAAAATGTAAGTTATATGTTGTTTTTCTACTCTTCTTGTATGCTTTCTATATTTTATGGTGATCTTAGTCACTGGTATAATCAATAGAATGTATCATATCCTCTTAATTATACTTTTGACAATGTACACAAATTATTGATGACTGTATAGATTGAATATCTAGAAGTTCTGGTATATTTTAATATTATTTAATTGAAATGGAGAATATGAAATGATTTGTTTCATTCTTATAATGTCTAAATTATTGAAATGAATTTTTAAAAAGCAGTAAAATATTAGATTGCCCTGAAAACCATGTTTCTAAGTTTTTGGATAAGCAGCTAATTTCATTTTTAAAATTATATCCATTTTTTAAAGTTTTTAAAATGTAACAATATTCTTCCCATTTAATAACAATTATATGTGCTATGATATTATTTGGCATAACTATGCCACAATTTATTGCAATAACCTCCCTTCCACTTCCAACTACAGTACTGAACACTTGTAGAAAACTAAGGGCTAGCTTTAACTGTTTATTGAACCAGTAGACATTAGTGCTCACCTTACCCTGTCATTTTCCTCAATCTTTTTACTTCTGTCTTATTGTCATGCTAATAAAAGAAAGAAAAATAGAATGAATTCAGATTCTACTATATGGGTGGTGTAAAATCTTACAATAGCTAATCTTGCTTTTTCACAAGCTACCTCCTGTGAGCAGTGGTCAGAAGTGCACTGATTTTTCTAGGAGCTGTGTTGAATAGAGTGGTGTCCTGAAACTAAAAACATTTTTAAGAGGAAAATTCTAAACTTTTTTTTTGGGGGGGGGGTTCTTCTGTATTTATTATGATGTTATTTTTTGTTGTTTAATCATTTTATTGGGGCCTCGTACAATTCTTATCACAATCCATACATAACATCCATTGTGTCAAGCACATATGTACATTTGTTGCCCTCATCATTCTCAAAACATTTGCCTTCTACTTTAGCCCTTAA